GATACTCCACCACGCAAGGAAAACATGGAGCTGGAGAATTCCAGCAAGTTTGCAGAATATGAGGTTCGCCACGAGATTCCTCTGTCCAAGCATCACAGCTTAGACGTCCTTTTGTTCCCACATTGAATTGAAATAGGCTTTGTTAAGTTTAATGAGACGATTGGGTAGTAGTTAGTACTTTCTACACTTTGGTCTTCACTCCAATAGTTTCTTTGTTCTTTAGGATTTGGCCCTGATGTTTTGTGGCAGCAGCAACAGTAGAAAGCTGTTCCTGGTGTGGTCCTGCGTAACCTAACCACCCTGATGCTGTTTGTTTCCGTGTAGCTGGGGCTCACGTTTGTTGGCTGTGTGGGCATGCTCGACCCGCCCAGGAAGGAAGTGATCGGTTCAGTGAAACTGTGCAACGAGGCCGGTATCCGTGTGATCATGATCACAGGGGACAACAAGGGCACGGCCGTGGCCATCTGCAGACGGATCGGCATCTTTGGAGAGGACGAGGACGTGACGGGAAAGGCCTATACGGGCCGCGAGTTCGACGATCTACCGCAGGAGGTGCAGAGAGAAGCCGTCAAACGGGCGCGGTGCTTTGCCCGCGTGGAGCCGGCTCACAAGTCCAAGATCGTCGGATACCTGCAGTCGTTTGACGAGATTACAGCCATGGTAAGGAAAACTAACCCCGTACAAGTAACACGCCTGCGTGCTCCAGCATCTTTTTGTGCACAGCACTGCTGCCTTCCTCCTTCCTGTAGCCATTCGCTGTTTGAATGACTTGTCAAAGATGCATGAGGAGAAGCCAGTGAGGCGTGACATGTTCCAGGTCTCTGTGAGGCTGCTCTCAGACGCCGCTATCACAAGCTGTCATCTCTGGTCTGCTCGGCTGCTTCCTATCTGACACGCGTCTCAGAAGAGAAGCTGATCCGCGGGAGGGAAACGACAATATCACCATTTGCCCGTCAGTCTGAAGCTGCTTTCAGGCCCTGCCTTGACAGATAAATATCGCTTCTGCACAGCTTTAGTTTAATCCCGTCATGGTGTGAAAAGATAATGAGCCTTTGCACAGTGAGTTGAGTCGTTGCTTGTTAAACTCGGGGCTCCCGAGCGAGTCATCCTTCATGAAAAATGAGTGTGGGCTCGGTATTTGAGAGTGGACTTGTTCTTTTCTGACACACATGAACTGTCACAGTGTTGGACTCTGAGTTTCAATGCTCAGCTTATATCTAAGGACCATTTAAGGATAAGCAAGTCTCATTGAGAGACGCTTTTTAATAAACAATACTGTTGACGTTTCCTTTGACACGTAATAATCCAGGTATTTCCTCCTGGCTGCAGACAGGTGATGGCGTGAACGATGCCCCGGCCTTGAAGAAGGCAGAGATCGGCATCGCCATGGGATCCGGTACAGCTGTGGCAAAGTCGGCGTCTGAGATGGTGCTGTCTGACGACAACTTCTCCACCATCGTAGCTGCTGTGGAGGAGGGCAGAGCCATCTACAACAACATGAAGCAGTTCATCAGATACCTCATCTCCTCAAACGTGGGAGAAGTCGTGTGGTGAGACGAGAGCGCAGTGAGACGCAGCTGCCGGGCGGGGGCTGTCTTCGTGTGCGGCTGACGTTTGTGGGTCTCTCCTGTGTGTGTCTGCAGCATCTTCCTGACAGCCATCCTGGGTCTGCCTGAGGCTTTGATCCCAGTCCAGCTGCTGTGGGTTAACCTGGTGACCGATGGCCTGCCTGCCACCGCCCTGGGCTTCAACCCCCCAGATTTGGACATCATGGATAAACCACCCCGCAACCCTAAGGAGCCACTCATCTCTGGCTGGCTCTTCTTTAGATACCTGGCCATTGGAGGTATTTTTCACTCAGACGTGAATAAATTATTGTGCAGTTGTCACTGTGTGGGGTGGTGCGGTGGTTAGCAC